GTTAGCTCATTGTTGTAGACTCCAAGAATTAGAGCAGGGTGATGATGATAAAATTTGAAGGAATCACACATTGTTTGGTCAATGTCTTACCAATAAACTCAACGCGCTGTTTTATTGCCATTTTTTAATCAATAAATTAAAAGTTTTGTATACAAAGATGGGATAACCGCCTAGTTAACTTTATGACAGTTATTCATAGAGTATAAATGCGTTTGTTATGTGATTTCTCGTGGCAAAACCTTGACTGCTCCTCCAACAAGCAGACAACACACAAGCAGACAATAAAGTTTCACACAAAACGAAGAAGAAAATAAAGATTTTGACACGGAATGCATCGAAACCATGCAGGAACAAATGACAAACGTTTCCACTCAACAGACTCCAGAAAAAGACGGAAGAAATAAGAGGACACTAGCGCACGCAGCAAAAAGCGTCAAGTTCTTGTGATAACATGAAAATCCAAAATCGAACCTCTTTTCCAAGCATTCAAAAACACTATTATGATCTTCAACACAATGTCAAAAAGGTTATATGAAATTAGAGTCACACACAGACAGCCTTAGACGTGTTCGATGCATATTGTATCTTCAGCGATGTAATACAAGCATCCAAAAACTTATAGCGGATGTGAAGTCATGCAAGTCAACGTCCATCTTTCCTCCACAAGAACACTCCTGAATCACTTTCTAGACGGAACGACGTCCATTAGAATGAGCAATATCATTTGTCCCCCGCTTTAAATGCACACAGTTCAATTTGCCTCACCTCATCCCCTGCCGTCCCACTATGAGTATCCAATACAGACTGCATTGTCTTTCCAATGACATACCAAATAACAGCGGAACGCTAGACGCAATGGTGCGCTGAGTTATTGGCTCATAAACACATAAGAAAACAAATGGCAAGTGAAAATTTATTACCAAAATTTAAATAATCTCATTATTAACATAAACCATGCATTAAATATAAGGTATATTCTTAGAAAATACTCTCTTCACTTCCGTGAAGACTGGTGAAGTTTTGAGTCTGAATTTCGTCACTCTTGAGTCGCGAAATTGCCAATTTACAGCAAAACAATGGAAACAATTCAGTCCCATGTCAATTCACAGCAAATATCTGAATCGTTTTCACCGCCTAACCAAAACTAAACTCACACGGTTCTTAATGTTTATCAGATGATGTTTCATGTACCCCAACTACTTCCAAACGCCTAATCATACTCTATTATTCAATCTATAACCGAAATACAATAAATGCAAAATAAAATCAGGGTCTAAATTTACATTTTGATAAATAGTTCCCCCACAACGCGTCTTTCCTGCCTTCAGCACAGTTCAAAACCAACAGGTTCAAGAATTAATCCACGATGAAATCGGGAGCGCAGCCGCGGACCAAAAATTTAACTCATAAACAAGCCCTAGCACCAACGCCTACCCTCATAATGCAATAACTATACTCAGTAGACTCCTGCGTTTGGTATTTTTTTTTATCCGAGACGAGACGAGACGACAGGCTCTGTCCCGGTTTGCAATAAAAACCGGGACAATTTTCAGCCCTCCGTAAGAATTCCGGGACGATACCGAGACGAGACGAGACGTCCTGGTTAAAATAGATACCTTAAAATTTCCCGGAATTTATAGCTATTTTAACGAGACAAATTAATTATTGATGTGGTGTAAACTTTGGCTTATCATCATACATTTATACAGAGCTGGGCAGCGTTACTTTGAAAAGTAGCGGCCGCTACCGCTACATGCTCTATACACAAGTTTTAAAGTCCGGGACAGAAGTCTTGTCTCGGTTCATACGTTTATTCCGGGACAAATTTTACCCTCTGTCCCGTTATTTTTTTCCCGGAATTTTCTCGTCTCGTTTCGTCTGTCCCGGTTCATTTCGAGAAAATTATTTCGAGACGCAGGAGTCTAATACTCAGCCTCGCACCTAAGAAGCTGTAGTTAACAAGTCATCTCACCACACCAACTTTAACTCACAGCTGCCTCACTCCACAGTGCCCTCTAGCGTGATTACGCTCGGAAAGGAATAGATATTGAATTAAGGCAAAGGCTGTGCTGGCCTCTAGCATGCATCCCATGAAATCTAATTGCCCCGAACTATTCAGTCAAAATACTTTTTGGCCGATCACCATCACAAAAAAATATAACTCACTAGTCACTGCAGTGAGTGACAGAGAGCGCATTTTCTCGTCGACGAAAACGTGAAGTCACGGACAAACGGACAGGCAGACAGACGGACATGACGAGCACAATAGCACCTTTTTCCATAAATGAGAAAATGCGCTAAAAATGCTCTGACTGCGTATAACATTCCAAACAAGCGGATTTTTTCAACACCTTTTTTATTTAATATTTTTTTTTCGTCGACGACTGTGAACAACCCTCCACTATACCTACAGAGCTACACGAAGGTGCTGCTGTACAGTATATGGCGGTATCAGCAAAGACGCGTTCAGGTGCATTTACATTAAATACGCTGACGTAATAACTGAGAGCGACGTACATTAAAAACGACTGGCAATCCCAGTGAATTCCACCCCCCAACCCCAAATTTTACCTCCGAGTCTCGCGTGACTCATATCCCTACAGCATCGTTATCATACCCTCTATAAATTTCACAAAATTTAAACTGAAACAATGAGAATTATAACTGAAACTAAGATTATTGAGTTGGAAAAGTCGAAGAAAATCGAAAATATAAAAAGTACATAAAAAAGATGAGAGTATGTAACAGCTAGAGTAGAATAATAAATTTACTCAGCGTACTTTTATTGTGTAAAATGAACACTATAACCAACCCCTGCATGCTCGGCGAGCAACCCATGCAAAGCCCACGCGGGTTCTCTCGCTCTTCGAAACAGATCCTAACCTAACCCATCCCTAAGCAACACCAGTAAGTTATTTATTTACTTAACGCTTTTATTCATTTTGTTCTATTATTTTCCTCTTTACTCTTTCCAACTTTTAAGTGCCTTCCTCTTTTTATGTATTCTCCTGGTAGCACAGAAGCCATGGCTCTCAAACGGGATCACGTGACTAGGGTTTCGCCGGGTGGACCAAACGAATTGGAACGCTCCCTCGACTTTGAAGGATTTCCCTGATCGAGCCTAAAGCCGACCCTTGAAAGGGCGTTGCTAAACCCGCCTGTCTGCAGACCGGGCTCAGGTGCTACCGTCCAAAGCTATAAATGTCGCAAGTAAAGATATTTTTGGAATGGATTTCTGCGTGTTTACGAGAATGCATTTATCATTTATGTTATAATCAGTAAGCTAGTGAACGAGTAAAATGAAACCCACTCTACGTTAATTGTGTCTTGATGAAGATCATGATACCGATTAAGAGGGACAATACGCTCGTTTCATTGATGGATTGTTATAATTTAAACTAATCATTCAAAGAATCCTGTGCAAATTAGTGAATGAATTTATAACATATAGTAACTAACTGAGAAAATCGGACAAGATATCAAAAATTCTTATCCATAAAGTTTATTTTCTCATTCAAATCACCCGACAGAAAATTTTGAGAACAATATAATTTATTTATGTTATTATTTCTAGTTTGACTGTTACGTACTTCAGTTATACATAGTGGTTCAGACTGAATTCGGTTTTTATAAAAGAAGCTAAAAAGCAATAACAGAAAAGACCAAATTTAGATTACAATAGAATTGAGTAGGAGCAAACTGCAGCGACCAAAATATTCAGGAATGGCCAATTTTAAACGGAGCATGTCAAATATTTTTCATGCCCCTTATTTAACGGGCCAATTCATAAATTGTCATACTTCATTGCGGTAAATGTAAAGGTTTAATATGATTCGGCCAAAGCACTTGGTTGCATCTTGAACGCTTAAGCGAAACGCACAGTATGTTCGCCATAAGTTCTATGCTCCTATAAATCTGAAGGCAAAGCCCAAAGCCAAGCAAACTTAGAGCTCCCCGATTTACTCGCCGGCATCGAGTTCACTTAAGATTCTCATAAGGAAGGTCTGCGGAAAAATGTTGGACGGTTATGTTGCACTCTAAGCATTTTAGCGTCTGCATCGAAATGTATAGAGATGAGTTCTTAGCTGTAGATTTATTACAGCGTTTGTGGCATTGCTTACCTGGAATTGCTGTAATATGCTATTCGTTTTGCAAAGGATTCCTAAGTAACATAAGTAGGCTTTGAGTTATTAATCTGGCCGTAGATCCTAATTCTCAACAATTTCTTCACTAAACCATAAGCAGACACGAAATTTCTTAGAATTATTTAATTCTGAGTAGTTGCACTGCCAGTGCAAACTAAAAATTTGTATAATTAAAACTATTCCTGCTTTCAAAACAAAAATTTCAAACTAACATGATTATAGTGATTATTTTTCATTAACGAAGTGGGCCATTCTAATTATTGTTCTTTATTTTCAAAGCATCTTCATTTTCAGAGCAATCATCGAGAAGTACGTTGAGAGGCCAATCTTTTAAATCTTACATAACATACTGTATAAAAAATTAAGCTAAAAAACACATGTCACACTGAAAAATTGTGTTTCTGAAGCTTGAGAAATTCCTACAAAAAAAGTTTTTCAGAAATTCTTTCTCGGGCCTCTCCGTTCGCGCGAATTTCTGTCGTATCTAACGGACGTTGCGACGCGCTCGGAGACGTGAGAGCGCCAATCAGCTGTCGCACTCCGTCAATTCCTATTGCAATGGACCACTGGACGACCGAATGGCCTCTATCTCTGACTTTCAATGCTTGATTCAGAATGCATTCAGAACCAAACTCGTACAGACAAATGGCTCGATCGGAACTACGGAAAATGAATATAAACATCGCAATGCTTGTGAACCACACCCGCTGCGGGACTGGACTGGAAAAACGTTGATGACAGTTAATTATTTTAATGAGAGGTCAGTAAAACAGAAACATACTCATGGTAGTATGTAATCATTTGAGAAAGATAATAATAATTTCACTACCAACTAACAGAATATAACACAGTTAAACTAACAGAATATATGTATATCTCCGTTTTTGAAAGATTATCCTCCTTATGTGCTGCTAATTTCAACGAGAGTATTTATATTATAAACAAAGTTAATTCCTAATTTACGCAACAAACACTAGGCACGTTTTCCATCTTTCAAAAAATTTCATACAGCTAACGAAAAATCATAATCAACAGTTCCTTTTCTCAGTGATGCAATTTCTCGGCTGTTCATAATGTAATCCAAGGGGTGTTGAGATTTCGCTTACTATAAAAAACTTCTAACTCAAATAAGGCATATCAGACACTACAAACGATGTAACTCAAATCCGATCAACGAAGTGAGTTCTGATGAAACGATCTTCTGTCTGACCAGTGATGCCTTGTGCTTTTTTCGTGCTGCTTTGACATGGTTTCAGGTTCTTCATTAGAACTCCTGTGTAACTTATGCTTCCTGAATCTATGCTTTTACTTCTCGTTTCTAATCTTTTAGGATTACGTCCCGAAATTTGTTGCAGAATTTTTCTTCGAGTTCGTCGCATGATATTGCTTCCTCTTTTCGTGAGCAGGCGAATTTAAATCGGGAATATCGGTTGTTTGGTCCGTTTTTTCAGGTTAAAATTAGCCATTTTGCATGAATGGGTCATCGGCGCCATTCTCTTTACTTTACTACTGAGAAGTTTTGTCAACATTTGTATGATTGTGCCGACGTTTCCATTTCATACACTTCCATTTTCGGCCTGGCCTCCTTCGGTGTCGATGTCGGTGACCACCATTTCTCGCAGCTACGTTCGAACTTGTGTTGAACGGATGGCCATGACCACCGGGAGATTTTGCGTGAATTTCTGTTGCTCTCGTTTCCTTTTCGTAACTATATTTCTACGTTGTGTTATGGTACGTTTTAAGTTTATTACGTCCGGAGTTAGAGGGTTCATTTCCTTGTCTTGTTTCATGCGCACCGACTTGACTATTTTGCAGCCTTCGATGTTCGTCATTGTCAGGTTCTTTATTCTATCCTTCAGATTTCAATGGATTTTCACCGTTGTGATATTTTGGTGTTTCTTAGCCCGGTTTCTCATTCGGCATCTTTGACTGCGAAACCGAACTTGAGTGCAATTCAGTATGACCGGCTCCTTTAACAGGTTCCTTTGTGTGATTGGAGAATTTTTCTTTGACTGGCTCCTTGCGTTTTGTCACTTTCGTAGTAACTTCCTCCTTTTAAAATTTGTACTGCGAAACTTTCTTTTCTTCCGTCTTTTTCACGCCTTTTTTATTTATATTAGGTTTTTCATTAGATGGAACGTCATGCGATCTTTATTGTGAATAAGTTGCACCGTCGTGACTATTGTCAATAAAATTGGTGCAGTTGAAGCAAATCAAAATATGGTTACCAAGTTTAGAAGTAAAGTTTCTCATTTTGTATCTTCCATGTGGGGTTTCGGTAACAATTTGAATATTATGGACCGACGGATTATTTCTTGAAAAGCTCTCTCGTATGGTCACTGGTTTGTCGTGTAAACGTAATTTTCTGTCCCTAGACATCAAACCATCAACTGCATCTTCCATTATCATTTCGGTGTCACCCAAGCCATGCCATGAATTTTCGGCCGTTTCCTTTGGTTTAAATACGTCGTAGGTCCACGTTCTTCTATTATTTCTTTAAAAATCAAATCTTGAGGGATCACAGGGTGACACATACATTGCCACCTATAGAGGTTTCAAAGCAAAAAGCACTTCTTTAGCAGTAGGCATGATGTCGGTCGGGGAAGCCAAAAACCCTCTGCCACCTTCGCCAGGGAGCTCGATAACGTAAGCCAAATTTATGCCCAAACTTCCAACAACCCAATCAGTAAACGTCCCTGAAGCTGGGTACAAAATTTCGTGGGTTTGTCCGTATCGATAGTCGCGCTGGTTAGCCAACTTCATATACATAGACATTTGATATGCAAGACTGTTAACACACCGATACGTTTCTCGTCGTTCTCCTGTGTAATCCCAGGGATAGATTATCATCTATCCGTAAGTGTGCAGGCTCACAACTGCACGAATTTAGTTTTTATGTTCCGTCAAAAACTAAGATATTGCTCGAGTTTCCGGTTCCGAAAAAGCTTTTTCTCCATGATAATCCTCGGTACATGGCAATTTTCCTTTACTCACTTCTCCCCAATGGAATCCAAAATTCCTATTTAAATCAACTCCAGTGCAAATCTCTCTACGGTCGTCATTTATTTTTGGTGATCGGTTCTTCCTCCACAATCTGTCATGAGTTCTAGAGAATTCATATCCATCAGGGTTAACTAAAGGTGCCACGAACCATTTATTTTTCAAGGTGTTTTCGTCATTTTAAGTGCACTTAATAATCAGTGTTTATAGCACTACCAGAGCGACAGCTGTCGAGAGCCATTCTCTTGCATGCATGCCTCCGTCGATCCACATAGCATTCGTGGTGGGGCCTTGTGGGTTGACGACCATCACGTAAATAGATCGATTTTCATGCGTGGTCCCAATGACGCGCAGAGATGCATATGGCCTGAAGATGATTGATAAACATTTTAACCAGTCTTCAAGATCTTTATAGGAGTTGAATTATTTATAGTCTAACATCCTGCACAAGTGATCGTACTCTTCCTTGGTGTGGTAATAGTCTTCGTTTCTTCCCAATTCCTAGCTTGGCGGTACTGTTGAACGGTATTTCAATTTCATTTCATCAATAAGTTTTTTCACGTTGTCAACGTCGTCGAAACGGGAAATCAGCTTCTTGCGGCGGTCAGAATTGTCCATACGTTGAAGTTGAATATCGTTTGCGCGAGAGAGATCGATCGATTTTTACACTTAATCGCTATTTCGGGCCAAGCTTTAACCGTCGTAAGTTGCTGCCCATCTCTTCAGGTGTTCTGCCGACTATGCTTAAGCATCCTCAATCCGCACCTTGCCGTTTGGACTCCTTGGTTCTGATTGTTGAATAATTATCAAGCAGAGGAGTACTGCTAATGCTAACGTCGAATACTGCTTGCCGAATTTTGTCATCGTTAACCTTCGTAGCGCAGGACTGAAATCATGGGCGACAGCTCGTTCGAATCTTATGTTTCTTCGGTATATAAGCTACATTCCTTAGCATTTCTTTTAAATAATTTGGATTTTTCGGTATCTAATTTTGAAAGTTTTTATCTGCAATTTTCAAGCAGAGAATATGACGCTTGTCCGTCGTGAGTCGAACACTTGTATCATAACTACTCATTTGGCTGCGCTTAGCGAATTATATTAACGCATTCGGCGAGCTGTTTTGGCTCGCATCTATACACATAACACTGTGCAACGAAAAAAAATTTCTTTCATAGCTCAAACCAAAATAGCTCTTAAGGAATCGAGGTCGCTGATTTCAAATCTGCAAACAGAAGTACTCTAGCACGTATAGTTTTCGAGATATTAAAAAAATAATTTTGATGAAATTCATAAAAATGCAACATTTGGTAAACTGAACATGATTAAATAATATTGGATTATACATTTCAAACATCGTATTTATGTAATCAAAATATAAAAAAATATAACTCAGTACTCACTGCAGTGAGTGACAGAGAGCGCATTTTCTCGTCGACAAAAACGTGAAGTCACGGACGGACAGACAGACGGACAGACGGACATGGCGAGCACAATGGTGCATTTTTTTCATAAATGGGAAAATGCGCTAAAAATGGTAATCAAGACAGTTTGGAAAGAAATCTTACCTAATTGCTATGATATATGATATGATAGCAATCAACAATAGTCTCCCATCATATTTAAATTAAATCGACCTTGATACCGACTCTCCAAAAGCGCAATATCTTGGTGAAAACGCTCACCATGCTCATCACTTATATCCCCAAGGTTTTCAGGGAAAAAATCCAAGTGGGAAAAAAGCATTTCCCAAGTGGGAAAAAGCAAGGGAAAAATCCAGAACATTGGAACAGCAAATGGCATACTCTTTCTTTTTGAGCTTGACCATTGTGTTAAACTGACATAGCAGTTAGAACAGCAGATATGAGGTGGCCAATTTGTATCCTGTTCCCCAACTTGACAGCCAAAATAGTGCCTGTATGCTATCTTCACCTTGGAGGCCAGATTTTTTCTCTGATCTTTTGGGGTAAATTTGCCACAAATGTAACAGAAATTGCCAGGGTTGTTGTTTCAATTTCGACGATTCATTTCAAACAATTACTGCTTAACTAAAATTTAAAAAATCAAATTGGTGCTTACTTCAGATTAATTAATAGCCTAGATTTATCACGACCAAACTTTTCTGGAATTAAATTGTGAAAAAGTTTCAGAAAATTCAATAGCAATAGAAAAACACTTAAAAATATTATCTCAGCCATTATAGTATTAATGTCACTTATTTGCTTAAATCGCAAAATGACTAAAAAATTAAAAGCAAAGAATAGTCCACAAAAATTCATATCTTTATAGAAAACGTTTCGGAGTCCAGCTCCATCGTCAGTTCGTAGAATCTAGAACATACATAGAAAGTCACAAGTTAATACCTGTCTCTTATACACATCTAGATGTGTATAAGAGACAGGTGTAAGANTTCAGCTGTGAGCTCCTATCCCCTTGAAATTGTGAATAGATAGGTTTTTATGCCCTATTACTTGTAAATTTAGGTTCTAATTGTGTTCTGTGTTTTCAATTGTATTAACTTGTGACTTTCTATGTATGTTCTAGATTCTACGAACTGACGATGGAGCTGGACTCCGAAACGTTTTCTATAAAGATATGAATTTTTGTGGACTATTCTTTGCTTTTAAATTTTTACTCAGCCATTATTATACAATAAAAGTGCATTTGAAACCAACAATACACAACACACTTTTACCAGGCAATCCTTATTTTGAATGTACTTTCACTTTTAGAGGCTGACCCTGAAGTTTATATGCATAAAATACTTTCACAAACATAACTCGAAAACCTGACGTGCTAGAGAAATTTCAAGGGCATACATGGAATCAGCGTAAAAAACACAGATACAAAATCAGATACAGGTAATTTCATATGAGTAGCAAAAATTTTGTTGCACAGTGTAATCAAACATGATGATAATGTAATGGTAATACTTTCATTTTCTCATTCGGTCTTCATACAAATACGATGGAATAACGTAGATTAAAAGAAATAGATTGAAAATTTTAACTGTCATTTGAAAGCGAAATATCTCTCCTCGGGTGCGATTTGATATCGCAATTTGAATAAAACATTTATTTTGAGCAGCGGAGCATTTTTTACAAAAGTCTGCCGTCTTGTTGTGTCGTCTACAGCAGTTGAAAGGTGGTAATTTACACTTATTTCTTCTCGATCAACTTTGTTCAAAATTATTACTTTTTGTTGTTGTGTAGCTCTGTTGTCAGTTATGGCATTCTCATTTATTTTTAACGTAGCTTAACGTCGATTTATATCAGTGACGTTGAAAATAGAAAACTGTGTCGGTACATTTATTAAGGTTGCATTTGTATTGTCCAAAAAATGGCTAAGACTTATTATTGCATGAGCCCTAAGGGTATTTAATATCTATGTAACTATTCGTGATTGGTTGAATTCTCCGTCTCTAGAAACGAAGATTTAATGCTCCTGTCAGATTGTAGGGGTCGTAATATTTTCTACTCGCAAACGGTGAGTTGTTAGCAACTCCACTTTTGCTAAGGAGTCCTTCTACCTATTAGACTCTGAGAAGAGGGTCTATTATTAGACTCTCAGAAGAGGGTCTGTTCTATTTTGAGGGATATGTGATTTCTAGATGAGGTCGGTGATGTTATATGAATGTGAAAACATACCAGAAAAAAAAACATGAAAGTCGTACAACATAATTTATCTCAAAATGTATTAAACAATCTGTTGTCTCTATTTTGCCTGACTTCCTCGATCGGCTCGATGTACTGTCTATGAAATTAGGCGATAGGCGTGATATTAATGATCGAGCATGGAACTTTTATTGGAGTTTAGAGGAATTCACTTCTATTCAAGCAAAATTTGTTGTTCTACGGAACTAGGGCTTTTGGGGCTAAGAATACTTTGTTAAGAGGAAATATTTACAATTTCTGTTCACTGTAGTCATGTTCATCACAATAAATTTAGAATGATGTGTAAAAGCTAGATAGAAAATATGTTTTAACCGGTTACTCTAGAAAGTGGCTCTCAAGAAAATTTTTAAGATATTCTTTCTCTCGGTGGTGGTGGTGGTGGTGGAGGTGCCACTGGGAAATGTGGGAAAAAATCAAGAGGCCAGAAAGGAGAAGGCCTCAGGGTGGCCAGAAAGGAAAAGAGGAAATGGAAACGATAGTAGAAGGCAAAAATGCGCTTAGCGCAAAATTCGGTTTGACGGTATGTCCATGGGTTTTTCTCTGGGTCGAGGTATTAGAAACCCACCGGGGCTTTGAAGGGTCATGTGGAGTTGTATGGTTGCTAGACCAGCGCGATAGTGGATGAAGATGATGCGGATGAATGATAGATGATGGTGGTGAAGCCCTTGCTCGGTGGTTGGCCTCCTGTGGCACAAGGGGGACTCGCCCTCAATAACTTTCAAGGCGAGTGCCTCAAGGTGCCCGCATCGGTGCCTGCCGGACGGTGGCGAGCCGTTTGGACAGGCTGGCAGCAGCCCTTAGAGATTGGACTCCTGCCCATTCACCCGCACCCCGGGCCGAGGAACTGGAGAGGACGGAGGGGAGTAGGAGAGAGACGAAGAGCAGAGAGGAGGGAAAGGCGCCACGAGGGTCGGAGGAGGAGGAGAGATCGAGAGAGAGAGAGGCTGAGGCTGTGAATGGAGGTGTGGATGGGAGACAAAGGAGTGAGAGAGTGATTGTGACGTGAAATGTGCAGAGATTGTCAATGACAGAGCCTAATAGGAGGCGTTTGAGGAGAGTGCTAGAGAAGATTGTTAGGAAAGGATGGGAGATTGTTTTGTTGAGTAAGATTAGTGCGGATGATGAGGGTGTGTTGTGGCTGGGAGAGAAAGAGGAAAGAGTGGTGGTGGTACATAGGAAGAAGTCAGCTGTGATTTTGAGAGGTGAGGCTTTAGAGGTGTGGGTGAGAGATGGACAGAAAAGATAGTTTGAGGAGAGAGTGACTATTGTGGTGTTGGGAGGGTTGCGCCTGGTATCAGTGTATCAGCCTGTGTGTGGAACGAATGATGACGGTATGGAGGGGTACAGAAGAGCGGTTGAGTTGCTTGTGGTGAAAATGAGAATTTGATTATAGGGGGAGATTTTAACTCGAATGTGGGCAGAGGGAATGAAAGGGAAGGGGTGTGTGGAAGATATGGCATTGGGAATATACTGTAAATGAGGCAGGAAGGGAACTGATTGATTTGTGTGGGGAGCATGAGTTGGAGTATGTGAATAGCTACATGATGTATAAAAGGAGAGGGACGTGGTTTAATGTGAGGTATGGCAGATGGTACGAGTTGGATGGTTTTGTGATGCGGAAGATTGATAGGAGGTGGATGGTAAAAAAGATGAGGACAGATGGGGAATACGAGTTGTCGGATCACAAGCCAGTAGTTATGACTGTAAGAGTGAAGGGGAGAAGATGGAGAGTGCCAGGAGGGAATACGAGGA